AAAAAAAAAAACAGGTAGAAAATATATGATACACCTGCATATCACACATCTAACTCATAAATAAACTTATTTGCAGAATCACCTTGATTGATCGATGACAATTTCGTTGACTTACTAATTTATTGATAAATAGATGCACTAACTATAAAAAGTCTAATTCACTAACTTGCACTTAATTTAATATCTCTTTGATTCACTCATTAATACATTGAATATTCCACTAATTCACGTAGTAGATTTTATATCATTACTCATTTGCTATTACTACACGAAACTTCTAGATTCTTAACTTTCATGAAATTTCTAGATGTTATGACATGATCCTTCTAGCAACATGCTCCTTCTAGCAACAGACATCTAAGTTAAAATATTAAAAATGTAACTTGCACAGTTTGTTTGTTGGATTTCGCGCAGAGCTACATGACTATTTTCTAGCTAGCCAACACTAATTTTGAAGTAATAGATTAGAGAAAAGATATATAATCAACACCACCTGCTGTCAACTCCTGAGCAACTCTTGTCAGACTGAGTTGCTCATCACTCTTATAATGCTCACACACATCTCCAAGGAATGGAGTGTAATTTCTTATTTTTTGGTTGAAAAACGAAGCAAATCATAGAACCTTAGTTCAGTATGCTAACCAATCTGCTGTATTCTGTCCCAGTTTGAATTTATTACACTTAACTAGAATAACCATTACGTTAGGTTAAAAAAAATCATAAAATAATTTCATAAATAATAACTAGCGCAACATTCATTCCTAGTTATTGCGGGCAATATTTTCCATATTCAGGTATTTTATACATGTAAATCTAATAAACTGTTATCTATTTACGTAACTGCTACCTAGTGGTTTAGCTAAAAGATGAGACTCAATACCTGCAGTTGGCACAACACAGCTTGCCAGTTGCACATTTTTAGACTTGAGTAAACTATAAGTAATCACAGACAGTTTGATTTTATCTTTGAACATAAATGCTGTCTCTTTTTCAATGTTTCATTATTTGTTGTTAACATCTGCCAAACTTATATTTCCTTTGTATAATAAAAATAACTCAAATAATTCTATTAGTGGTGTCACAACAATTATCAGTGAGATAATGTTAGGGCTCTTTTGTCTCACTAGACTGTGTACAAGTTGGTTATAATTAGTGAGCCATGAGTCACAAGCTCATCCAACTCTTAAGAATGTTTCCAGAATGAAGAGAGAAATACCATGTACCACAATCAAAACATTTATTACGCAAGTTTATACGAAATATACTTTACTTTAATACGCGTTACTTCATAATCATTATATACATATACATACTTATTGAAGTTTCAATACTCATATCTTCATAATTCCATTCCATTTAAATCAATATCTTCTTAAGACATTCATCTCTTTGCCAGATACTTCTTATTACACATAAATACTTACTGCTTATAAAGATGTTAAGACCATTGTTTTGGCATCTAGAGGTATCAAAGGGATTGAAGTTTTGATTTCTTTCTGAGTAATTCTGGTCTCTTACTGCTTATCTTTATGACTGTTTCACTGATTGCGCATGCTAGCTCAGCAACAACTTTTATAGTGTTTGGGGTAAGTATGATAATCTGGGCAATCTTTATTCATCATGCAAGCATATAAACTCATGCTGAAATACAGACCCTGTGAGCTTTTGGTTAAGTATTTGTTCTAATCGGCAAAGACTTAGTTGTGATTTTACTTAGACTTCTACAGTGCTAAATGTTCATCTCAACAAATACGCACACTTAATGATGTACATTTAACTTCACACTTTTATATTTCTGCTCTTTGTGGCTGTTTTTCTTAGAATTCCATTTATGGAACAGTTAGAGATACGGTTGCACTTGGTAGTGGTGATCATTGCCTTTATTTTAATACATAATCATGACACGTGATATACAAAGCTTCACTTCTGGGCAAGTTACAGCCATGTTTTCTGAAAACTTGTCCCAAATTCTAATTAATGCTACAATTGTTAAATAATAGTAGTCTTAAGACATTTTATATTCTGTGCATTATTATGTTTTGTGTTTTAAATATCATATTTGAAATAAACATTTTGTTGGAATCCTGAGAATTAGCTAGTTGTTTGTGTATCGTTTGTCCACAAAAACTTGTTGATAAATTAATACCTTGCCCGTGTGTTGAGCAAGTTTGACCTAACTGAATACAACTCGTGTCTTTAATTTTTATACCACTTATAAACATTTTGATTATTTTCACGTTTAGGATAAACTACTGATTATATGATTGATTGAAGTTAAACACAAAGCTACACAATGGGCTATCTGTGCTCTGCCCACCACGGGTATCGAAACCCGGTTTCTAGCGTTGTAAATCCGCAGACATACCGCTGTACCACTGGGGGGCGATAAACTACAGATAGTAGCAGATCGTCTTGGACAATAAACAACCATATTAAGCCTAATGAAGAGTGTTGCTAGATAACAAATGTGTTTCTATTTCATCATTGTGTTTGTATAGTGATTTTATATTAAGGCATTACTTTCTCAACATTATGTTCATTCCAGTTCTTCCGCTTGTCATGATTACAACAACTAATATATTGTTCATTAATTTCTTGCTATTATAGCTGATACAATTCTGTTACCAAGAAAATTACTTTGTAGTGTCATGATGTGAGTTTGGATTGGTGTTAAAAAAGACGTTAGACCAAAAGTTCAACAACATTCCAAGCAGATCAGAATACTCTGGTTTATCTTATTTTGAATTTCGCGAAAAGCAACTCAAAGGCTATCTGCGCTAGCCGACACTCATTTAGGGAAGACAGCTAGACAGCACCACCCATCGCCAAATCTTGGTCTACTCTTTGCCAACGAATAGTGGGATTGACCGTCACGATATAGCATCCCCACGGCTGAAAGGATGAGTATGTTCGAGGACGGGATTCGAACTCGCGACCCTCAGATTGCGAGTCGAGTGTCCTAACCATCAGGCCAGCGTCTATACTATATTGGTGTCAAAAGACGGTCTACAACAGACAGACAAATTTTACAAATATTGTGACTTTTTTTTTATCAGCAAATTGGAAAATACAACACTGGATATTTTCAGATCTTTACAATATGGGGAAAATATTTTCATTAATCAACAGCAAAACTTTCTTTTCATAAATGAATTTATGAAAACAATTCCCATGTTTATGAAATCGACAAAACAAAGTATTTTCTAGTTTCTGAACGGATCATTGCAAAATATGTCAAAAAATTACACTATGCTCTCCATCATCTTTTCGGTTCACTTATAACTAATTTTATAATCGTTTTGTTAAGGTCTGCATCAGACAAGTTATTTATGTCATGGGGTTAAAAAAAAACAAACTAAAGTATCCTCCTTCTAGTTTTGGAAAGCGTTCAAAATTGATCATTACACAACGAAATCAAGGGTGACTACCCCAGTACGATCCCGTTACACTCCAGCACCCGAATCTATAAGAGGCTTTAGATTATTATAAATGTAGCATATAGTGGGAGTTGTAGCACATCTAAACTTTCTTATATTGCATACAAAAAAAAATGGTGGAAAAAACACACACACATTAACCGCGTTTATACTTCAACAGCCAATCTACGATATAGACAAACTGGATAAAGTGGGTATGATAACATAGAGGGTATTTAATTTATCAGTCTTAATGCTTTTAACAATGTTACTTTATTTGAAAACGAGATCAAATTGTACATTGAGAAGCCTTTTCTAACGTAAAACCAAAGGGCTTGTTTTATCCCACTCTTTTATGTCTGTTCGGTATCTCTTAGCAAGATCGATAAAAAAACTCATTAATAAGGTCTAGTTTAAAATGGTTAATTATATTATTCAGAAAGGAATAATTAAAAAAAAAAACAGCGTTACGTCAATGTTGAGAATTATACTAAACTATTAGTTGGTTAATTTAATACGAGTAAAAACCTGAATACAGCAATATATATAATAATTAAATAGTAACTAATAACCTCGCCAATTTTTTTTTGTCTTACATACTCGTGTGTTAATGATACTCTTGTTATCTACTACCAATAAAAAAGTAGGACACAAATTTAAAGGTTATGAGTGAGCCAATGTATGTGAAGTACGTAGCTTGCTCTGATTGGAAGTTAATGTTGATTACACAGAAATGTTTTGTTGTATTTCAAAATATGTAGTACATACTGGAGGGATTAACACATTTTACTAATAAAGTTAGAAAAAAAACGACCTTTACATTCAAGATAATTAGAAGAAAACTTATATTTTAACCGACGTTTCGCCTTTGCGGCTTCTGTTTTGAGATGCGCGTGTACAAAGGTCTTCCGGTTTCTCCTACTTATGTATTTCCATATATCACATCTGTACTATAAGATTAGGACAATAGTGAAGTAATAATTATATTTGTGTAAAGGCACGTTACGGCAGATTCGAGAAATCGAACATCAACAGCAGTTTTATAATTGTTTGTTTCATGAATTTCGCGCAAAACTACACGAGGGCTATCTGCACTACCCGTCCCTAATTTAGCAGTGTAAGACTAGAGGGAAGACAGCTAGTCATCACCACCCACCGCCAACTCTTGGGCTACTCTTTTACCAACGAATAGTGGGATTGACCGTTACATTATAGCGCCCCCACGGCTGAAAGGGCTAGCATGTTTGGTGTGATGGGGATTCGAACCCGCGACCCTCAGATTGGGAGTTGAGTTTTATAATTAAACGAATATACCAATATGTACATTTTAATTATATAGGGAATGAAGGTCGTTTTTTTACTGGCTTTATTAACTTACCCAGATTGTAAAATTGCCGGTTTAATACGTATTATTTTAGTTTTTAAAGAATGCTTCAGAATGTTTTTGAGATTTCATAACCCTGAGTGCTTGTGAAAAATTCAGCTCTCCAAATCTGTAGGGAAACAAGAAAAAATCACTAAACTTTTAACAAAGCTCCAAGTGAAACATTCTTACATACTCTCTTGGAGCTTAGTTGTATTTATAAAGGAAATATTGTTTATTATTAAAAGAAATAAGAAAAGATAAGTTTTTAGTCTGTTTGTTGTTTTTCGCATAAATTTACTCGAGGGCTATCTGATAGACCAACTCTTGGACTACTCTTTACCAAAGAATAGTGGAATTGATCGACACATTATAACGCCCCAAGGCTGAAAGGGCTAACATATTCGGCGATGGAATGAATAAATACATTCAAGGTATGAAGAAAAAGACTCTGAGATTTTTCATACTTATTTAAATACTAGCTGGAGTCCCCGCCCCTGGA